CCTTGTGTTAGCAATTCTATTCTTAGTGGAGTCTACTATCCACATTTTGATTGAATTATCCCATTTCTTGGTAACTTTAGGTGGAATACTAAATGGAGGGTTTGGAATAAGTGTAAAAATTTAGGTAATATCATTTTTCATGCCTTCAGCCTTGTTGTAATGTCACCATTCCATTTTTTCCCAGTTTTCCTAGAAAACTGCAGCTTCTGTGTGGAGTTTCAAGGCAGGAAAAGAAGATGGAGGAGGCAAAATAATGGTTTGTCCCAAGGCAGTGTTCTTTACTTACCAAACAATTTGGGCTCGTCATCAGGTGGATCTGCAAAACAAACAAAAAAACAATTTGGCTGAAACACAGCACACAAATAGACAGTCATATTGTGCCAAAATGTGAGAGGTAGTCCTGTTGCACAAAAATGTTATAGACATGTTGATCTAAAGGTGTAATTTAGGGGCCTTTGCCAAGAGGCAGAGACCAATTAGACTCATTAAAGAGTTCTTTTTCCCTGGCGAGACAGAGAAGCACCCAATATTTTTCCCTGATTTCCCAATGAAAGGTCTCACCAAGTTGAAGAAAAGCCATCGAGGTTTATTAGCGATTCAGCTGAAAAGGATGCAGAGCTGCAATCATTCGCCAGCAGAGCATGAGGAGAATACATCAATACAGTCATATTTATAGTAAATTCAAAGTTGCAGAGTTCAAACTTTCAAAGTTGCCTCCCTGCTGCCCTCCGCCGTGATTGGACGATGGGCAAACAGCTGGGAGGCGGCCCTCCCACCCCCGGCACCTCTGGACCAATCAGGAAACTCCAGTGGTCCGTAGGATCCAATGGGGAGACCTCTGCCACCTGGTGGCGACAGCAAATCAGGAGAGAGGGAGGCGGGTCGATAGAACACAAAGGAATCTGTGAATGAGTTTTTTTTAAAAAAATGCCATGTGGCTCACGAGACAAAAAGGAAGTCTCAAGCAGGGCTGATCTATTGTGTTCATGAGTGAAGGCAATAAAAAGAAATCTGGGTTTTCCTGTCACCATCAGATATGACACAAAGGGGAAGACTTGGGTGGAAGTTCTTTGTGGAGAAGTTTGAAAGAAAAACGGCTTGGAGGAAAAGAGGACTTTCCTAAGGTCATATTCCCCCCATTGTTATATGATTAAAAAGTCTGCCAAACGGAAATCCTAATGGTGGCCCAACTCCGAAGTCAAAAGGATTTCCTTTACTATTGTCCATGCAAAGAATGCCCAAAGAGAAGGGTCTTTTCATGATCGCTGATTGCTTTTCCAGAGGCAGGGCAGCTTCCTTGTAGATTTCCCCCAAAGAGAGGGGAAGGGGGCAAAAGGGTCAGGGCAAGGTCAAATACATGAAGGGAAATATAGAAATACAGGAGAAAATATGAAAATATAGAAATCATAATACAGAGAGTAAACCCAACTACCTTCCCCCAGTGTCCATAGTTCATATTATTCATAGGAAGGTCCATAAAGGGAAATATCCATGAGGGGGAAAGAGAGTCCCTTGTTTGTGAGGTGGGGGACCATCAGGAGCCCAGGTGTGCCTCAGATGGGAAAATTCAAATACTTTTGTGGCATGATTTTCAGTAGTAAATTGGTTACTTTCTGCTGTAAACATATGAAAAAAGAGCATAAAGCCTTGATTAAATGATACACACCAAACTGACCAAGGCTTAACCCTTATTATCCAGTCTGGTGCCCTTGCCCTTAATGGTTTTTCCTTCCTGTTGCCCAGTCTTCATAGAATCATAGAATCATAGAATCAAAGAGTTGGAAGAGACCTCCTGGGCCATCCAGTCCACCCCCATTCTGCCAAGAAGCAGGAATATTGCATTCAAATCACCCCTGACAGATGGCCATCCAGCCTCTGCTTAAAAGCTTCCAAAGAAGGAGCCTCCACCACACTCCGGGGCAGAGAGTTCCACTGCTGAACGCTCTCACAGTCAGGAAGTTCTTCCTCATGTTCAGATGGAATCTCCTCTCTTGTAGTTTGAAGCCATTGTTCCATTGCGTCCTAGTCTCCAGGGAAGCAGAAAGGAAGCTTGCTCCCTCCCTCCTCCCTGTGGCTTCCTCTCACATATTTATACATGGCTCTCATCATATCTCCTCTCAGCCTTCTCTTCTTCAGGCTAAACATGCCCAGTTCCCTAAGACGCTCCTCATAGGGCTTGTTCTCCAGACCCTTGATCATTTTAGTCGCCCTCCTCTGGACACATTCCAGCTTGTCAATATCTCTCTTGAATTGTGGTGCCCAGAATTGGACACAATATTCCAGAATAGAGGGGTAGCATTACTTCCCTAGATCTAGACACTATGCTCCTATTGATGCAGGCCAAAATCCCATTGGCTTTTTTTGCCGCCACATCACATTGTTGGCTCATGTTTAACTTGTTTTCCACGAGGACTCCAAGATCTTTTTCACACGTACTGCTCTCGAGCCAGGCATTGTCCCCCATTCTGTATCTTTGCATTTCATTTTTTCTGCCAAAGTGGAGTATCTTGCATTTGTCCCTGTTGAACTTCATTTTATTAGTTTTGGCAACTCATCTCTCTAATCTGTCAAGATCGTTTTGAATCCTGCTCCTGTCCTCTGGACTATTGGCTATCCCTCCCAATTTGGTGTCGTCTACAAACATGATGATCCTGCCTTCTAGCCCTTCATCTAAGTCATCTAAGAAGACAGGGAAGCTTGGAGAAGACAATGATGCTGGGAAAAATGGAAGAGGGGCCACCCAAGGGCAAGATAGATGGATGGCATTCTTGAAGGGACTGGCTTGACGTTGAAGGAGCTGGGGGTGGTGACGGCCAACAGAGAACTCTGGCATGGGATGGTTCAGGAGGGCATCAAGAGTCGGAAGTGACTGAACGAGGAAACAACAAGTGTTATAAGCTTATTGCACTAAATACTATAGATATATTGTACAAAAGTGTTCTAAACACATTTCACGAAAATGTTATAGACATAGACAAAAGTGCTATAAGCAAATTTCAGAAAAAATATTATTGGCAACCATATTTCACAAACTGTTCTAGAGAGTCATGTTGCACCAAAATGGTACTGGCAATCATATTTTCACAAGAACATTATTGAACGTCATATTACACACAATGTCACAGACGTATTATACAAAACTGTGACAGTCATATTGTAGAAATTGTCATAGACAGTCAAATGCCAAACAAAATATTAAGGGACACAAACATGTTAAAAGACAACCGTGTCATAAGATATTAGGTGTATTGCATGAAAAGGTGATAGTCGTATTGCATAAAAGCATTATATTAGACAGTCATATTGCACTTATTTTTTAATTTATCATGTCAGAAGCGAATTGAGAATACATTGTACTAAATTTCCTTTGACCAGAAGCTGGCCACTTGAAGTGCCTCTGGTGTGGCTGTGAGAAGGTCCTCCTTTGTGCATGTGGCAGGACATTAGAGTAGGTGGTCTGTGGTTTGCTCTTCTCCACACTCGCATGTTGTGGACTCCACTTTGTGGACCCATTTCTGAAGGTTAGCTCTGCATCTCATGGTCCCTTCCAAGTCGCCTCATCTTCTGTGTGCCCAGGAGGGGGTCCCTCATTTGGCATCAGCCATGGCTTGAGATTCCAGGTTTTCGCCTGCCACTTTTGGACTCTTGCTTGCTGAGGTGTTCCTACGAATACAGTGTTCCCTCGCTACTTCACGGTTTGCTTTTCTCGGACTTGCTGTTTTGCAGGTTTTTGCCTCCTGGCAACGATGGAGTGTGGAAGGGGGTTTCACCCTTCCACGGTCATGTTGCACAAAACATTACAGACCTATTTCACTCAAACCTTCAATGTAGTTATATTGAACAAAATATCCTACATCACAAAATTGTTATTAGATGCATTGCCCAAAAAAGGTGATAGATGGTCATATTTCACAAATGTTCCAGGGAACGTTATAGGGAGTCATATTTCACAAAATTGATAGTCATATTGCACTAACGATATGACAGTTATATTTATAATATTTCACCAACTATTTTAGATATATTGTACAGAACGGTTATAGAGAGTCATATTGCACATATGTTATAATGAGTCATATTTCACCAAACATTATAGAGATTCATATTGCACAAACTTGATAGTCATATTGTACTAACATTGCAGACAGTTGTATTTCATCAACTATTTTAGATATATTGTACAGAATGGTTATAGTCATATTGCACATATGTTATAATGAGTCATATTTCACCAAACATTATAGAGATTCGTGTTGCACAAACTTGATAGACAGTCATATTGTGCTAACATTACAGACAGTTGTATTTCACCAACTATTTTCGATATATTGTACAGACCATATTGCACAACTCTCTATAACCATATGCACGGATGTCATATTTCACCAAATGTTATAGAAAGTCCTACTGCACAAACCTGATAGTCATATTTCACTAACATTACAGTCCTATTTCAGTCCTATTTCACCAAATGTTGTAGACATATAGTACAAAATGTGATAGAGTCAGATATATTGCACAAACGTTATAGACATATTGTCCAAAAATGTGATAGTTAGATATATTTCACAAAAACGTTATAGACATATTGTACAAAAGTGTGATAGTCAGAATGTGATAGTCAGATATATTTCACAAAAACATTATAGACATGTTGTACAAAAATGTGATAGTCAGATATATTGCACAAAAATGTTATAGACATATTGTACCAAAATGTGATAGTCAGATATATTTCACAAAACGTTATAGACATATTGTACAAAAATGTGATAGTCAGATATATTTCACAAAACGTTAAAGACATATTGTACAAAAATGTGATAGTCAGATATATTGCACAAAACTGTTATAGACATATTGTACAAAAATGTGATAGATATATTGCACAAAACATTATAGACATATTGTACAAAAATGTGATAGTTGGATATATTGCACAAAAATGTTATCGACATATTGTACAAAAATGTGATAGTCAGATATATTGCACAAAAACGTTATAGCCTACAGTGGACGATAAGCTCTACACTTCCGATCCGCATATCCTCAGGGCCTTCGATCAATGTGATATAGTTTGCCAGGTCGGTGATATTCAAGGGTGTGATCTCAAGGGAGCAGTCGGGCCGTATGGTCTCTCGCCCGGTGAAGTTTGGCCCCTTCTTCACTTTAAATCTTGGGTAGAAGAAAGCGGTCAGGATGGTTTCATTCCTTCTCATTTCCCCTCGGAACCAGCGGCAGAACACCTGGGCAATGGTCAGGGTGACCGGGGTGAGGCGGACGCTTCCTCCTTCCATCGGCATTGGTGGCTCCACCGTGATATTTGTCCGCTTGTAGTAGGCCTCGGTTGAGAAGAAGCAAACGCTCAGGACAAAGGCTGTGGGGAGAAGAAGGGAAGGGACGTCACTCCCAGCAACGCATCCCTTGGAGGCAACGCCAACCAACCCAACATCTGGCTCATATCTCCAAGCAGCCTCTGGACCTCCAAAGGCTGTGTGGAGAAAGAAGAAAGGGACGTCACTCCCAGCAACGCATCCCTTGGAGGCAACGCCAACCAACCCAACATCTGGCTCATATCTCCAAGCAGCCTCTGGACCTCCAAAGGCTGTGTGGAGAGAAGAAAGGAAGGGACGTCACTCCCAGCAACGCATCCCTTGGAGGCAACGCCAACCAACCCAACATCTGGCTCTCATCTCCAAGCAGCCTCTGGACCTCCAAAGGCTGTGTGGAGAGAAGAAAGGGACGTCACTCCCAGCAACGCATCCCTTGGAGGCAACGCCAACCAACCCAACATCTGGCTCATATCTCCAAGCAGCCTCTGGACCTCCAAAGGCTGTGTGGAGAAGAAAGGAAGGGACGTCACTCCCAACAACACATCCCTTGGAGGCAACGCCAACCAACCCAACATCTGGCTCTCATCTCCAAGCAGCCTCAGGACCTCCAAAGGCTGTGTGGAGAGAAGAAGGGAAGGGACGTCACTCCCAGCAAAGCATCCCTTGGAGGCAACGCCAACCAACCCAACATCTGGCTCTCCTCTCCAAACAGCCTCAGGACCTCCAAAGCATATCTCCAAAGGCTGCGATGAGTTTTCCAGACTGTATGGCCCTGTTCCAGCAGCATTCTCTACCCCTTCTACCATAAAAGAAGACACCATCCAAGCCCTCCCAGCAGAAGGCCATCCAGCCATGGATATGATTGACTGATTGATTGATTGATTGGTTGGTTGGTTGATTGATTGATTGATTGATTGATTGAGAGAAGGAAGGGGACACCTCCAGGCTTCATATTCCACTGCCAACCAGATCTAACTGTGGGGAAGTCCTTCCTAATGTTGATGTGGGCCCTCCCCTGCCTTTGAGTCCTGGCCCCCTGCCTGGCCCCTCCCTCCCTCCCTCCTTCCTGGGAGCTCGCTCCTTCCTTCCTTCCTTCCTTCCTTCCTTCCTTCCTTCCTTCCTTCCTTCCTTCCTTCCTCTCTTTCCTCCCTCCTCCTCTCCTCCTTCCTCCCTCCCTCTCTTCCTTCTTTCCTCCTTCCCTTTCTTTCCTTCCATCCTTCCTTCTTTTTTGCTCTCTCTCCCTCCCCCATCCTTCTCTCCTCTCTCTCCTACCTTCCCTCAAACTCTCCCTCATTGCTTCCTTCCTTCCATTCTTCCTTTTTGCCCTCTTTTCCTCCATCCTTCCTTCTTTTCCTCCTTCCTTCCCTTATTCTCTCTTTCCTTCCTTCCCTCCTTCCTTCTCTCCTACATTCCTTCCAACACTCCCTCATTCTTTCCTTCTTTCCCTCCTTTCCTCTTTCCTTCCTTCCTTCCCACCCCTCTCTTCTTTCTTCCCTCCCTTCCTCTTTCTTTCTTTTCCTTCCTTCTTTCCTCTTCCCTCCCCCTTCCTTTTTCCCTCCCTCTCTTCCTTCTTTCCTTCTTCCTTCCTTCCTTCTTCCTCCCTCCCTTCCTTCTTTCCCCCTTCCTCCCTCCCTTCCTTCTTTCCCCCTTCCTTCCTTCCTTCCTTCCTTCCTTCCTTCCTTCCTTCTTTCCTTCCTTCCCCTTTCTTCTTTCCCTATCTCCTTCCTTCCTTCTCTACCTCATTCCTTCCCCCTTTTTTCTTTTCCTTCCCTTTCTCTCCTTTCTTCCTTCTCTACCTCTTTCCATCGTTCCTTTGCTTTTTGCTTCCATCCTCCCTTCTCTCTTCATTATTTCCTCCCCCCTTTCTCTTCTCCTTCCTTTCCTCCATCCTTCCTTCTTTCTTTTCCTCCTTCCTTCCCATATTCTTTCTTTCCTTCCTTCACTTCTTCCTTCTCTCCTACATTCCTTCCAACATTCCCTCATTCTTTCCTTCTTTCCCTCCTTTCCTCTTTCCTTCCTTCTTTCCAACTCTCCCTCATGCCTTCTTTCTTTCCCTCCTTCCCTCTTTCCTACCTTCTTTCCATCCTTCCTTTTTGCCCTCTCCCTCCCCCCTTCTTTTTTCCTTCCTTCCTTCCTCCCTTCTCTTTCTTTTCTTCCTTCCCGCCATCCTTCCCTCTTTCCTTCCACCCTTCCTTCCTTTTTGCCCTCTCTATCCCCTTCCTTCCTTCCTTCCTTCCTTCCTTCCTTCCTTCTTCCTTCCCCTTCCCTCTTCCTTCCTTCCTTCCCCTCCTTCCCTCTCTCCTCCTCCCTTCCTTCCTCCTCTCCTACCTTCCTTCAAATTCTCCCTCACTCTTTCCTTCCTTCCCCCCTTCCTTTTTTCCCTTTCTTCCTTCCTTTCCTGTTCCTTCCTTTTTTCTTCCTTCCTTTCTTCCCTCCTTCCTCTTTCCTTCCTTTCTCATTCCTCCTTCCCTCTATATTTCTCCTTCCTTTTTTCTCTCTCTCCCTCCCTCCTTCCCTTCTTTTCTCCTTTCTTTCTCCCCTTCCTTCTTTTTTCCTTTCCTTCCTCCTTCCTTCCTTCCCTTTTTTCCTTCTTCTTTTCCCTTCCTCCTCCCTCCTTCCTTCTTTCTTTTCCTCCTTCCTCTTTCCCTCCTTCCCTCCTTCCTTTCTTCTTCCTATTCTCCTTCCTCCTTCCTTCCTTCTTCCTTCCTTCCTCCTTCTCTCTCTCTCTCCTTTTCCTTCCTTCCTTCCTTTTCCACATGGCCATATAGCCCGAAAAAACCCACAAGAACTGAGTGATTCCAGCCATGAAAGCCTTCGACAATAAATGGAGAATTTGTATAGATAATAGGCATTCATAGAATTATTGAGTTGGAAGAGACCTCATGTGCCATCCAGTCCAACCCCCTGCCAAGAAGCAGGAAAACTGCATTCAAAGGACCCCTGACAGATGGCCATCCAGCCTCTGTTCAAAAGCTTCCAAAGAAGGAGCCTCCACCGCACTCCAGGGCAGAGAGTTCCACTGCTGAAAAGCTCTTACAGTTAGGAAGTTCTTCTTAATGTTCAGGTGGAATCTCCTTTCCTATCGTTTGAAGCCATTGTTCCATGTCCTAGTCCCCAGGGCAGCTCCCACCTCCCTATAACTTCCCCTCACATATTTATACATGCCAATCATGTGTCCTTTCAGTCTTCTCTTCTGCAGGCTAAACATGCCCAGCTCTTTAAGCTGCTCCTCATAGGGCTTTTTCTCCAGACTCTTGATCATTTTAGTTGCCCTCCTCTGGACACATTCCAGTTTGTCAATATCTCCCTTCAATTGCTGTGCCCAGAATTGGACACAGGATTCCAGGTGTGGTCTGACCAAGGCAGAACAGGGGGGTAGTATGACTTCCCTGGATCTAGACACTATACTCCTGTTGATGCAGGCCAAAATCCCATTGGCTTTTTAGCTGCTGCATCACATTGTTGGATCATGTTTAACTTGTTGTCCATGGGGACTCCAAGATCTTTTTCACACGTACTGCTGTCTAGCCACGCATCCCCATTCTGTATCTTTGCATTTCATTTTTTTCTGCCTAAGTGGAGTATCTTGCATTTATCCCTATAGAACTTCATTTTGTTAGTTTTGGCCAATCATCTCTCTAATCTGTTCAGATTGTTTTGAATTTTGCTCCTGTCTTCTGAAGTATTGGCTTTTCCTCCCAATTTGGTGTGGTCTACAAACTTGATGATTATGCCTTCTAACCCTTCATCTAAGTCATTAATAAAGATGTTGAACAGAACTGGGCCCAGAATGGAACCCTGTAGCCCTCCACTCGTCACTTCTTTCCAGAATGAGGAGGAAGCATTGGTGAGCATTCTTTGCTTCAGACTTGTCACTTTCCGCATATAAAGGATGGCATAATTGACAGTAGAGGCTCGTCGATCAAAATTGATATGGGATTTAGATTAAAAGAGCTTGGTTCAATCATCCCTCTGATTCGTTTTAACAAGATTGCAAACTGACATGAGCCAATCCCTATCTTCCAGCCTAAACTGATTTATGGGGTTGTTGGAAGGATAAAATGGCATGTTCTTCTATGCAGAAACTTTAGCTATTTATTAAATGAATTGATGATTTACCTTGATATCATCTCACCACTCCTTTAACATGATCAAGGCAGCAACCCATTTATTTTCACTTTGGTTGAGAGTAATTGGCTCTAGGTACAATCTGGTAAACATCATTAAATAATCCTTGATGTAATAGTTTGGACCAAAACAAAGATACCTTCTTCTTCAGACCAATTGGTTGTGATGATAAATGACTCCCTTCCAATTACCCCTTCACTGAAAATATGAACGGTTCCCCTCTCTGATGGTCACGTACATAATGCTTTTGAGTAGCTCTGTCTATCCAAATGGCCTTTCTGAATATAAGCCATATTGGCATTAAGTGCTTAATACAATACAGACTGGAAATTATGCTCTCTTAACAGGTTTAATACATTCATTAACATTTCATGAAACAAACTTCAACATTAGCCTTAATGTTATTTTGCTTTTCAAACTACTATCACGTATACATTATCCAGTTATTTGAAGCTATACAACACATTTCATAACACAATAATTTTTATTGTATCTCTCTGCGATTACTTGGTCCAGGGCCAAAGAGCATCCACATTTAGGATTTCTTAAGGAGATTGTGTAACTCCAAGACACATATGAACTTTTGTTTGTGTACCTTGTAAGCAAAGCAGGTCCAAAGTCCTACAGAAACCTTCACAAACATAATACTAGAAATGTGCACACTTAGACCACTATCTCCCTAGTGCTCAGGCTTACTTTTGTCCCCTGCTCTGATGTATCTTGTCAAACATGTTTTTCATGTTCTTGAAGTGCTATGAAAAACTGAAAAAGGGTGAGCACGCACTGAAGTTTGTATCACAGCACCTTCAGCTCTCAATTTTCAGTGAGTTGGGGTGTCTATTCTAACACAAGTTTGAAACAAAAGAATTCCATGCTGTGATGCTTAGCAACAGCTGTTTCCTTGCTGCGAACAGATGGAAATCCACATCTCACAAGAAAAAAATATAATATGGCGCATGCAGTGATGCTTTCTGGCTTGGAATCTGGGGCAAAATCCCATGAACCCATTCAGTAGGCTGAATCAAAGGCTTCAAAATGCAACAAGGCTTACTACCACTTTGTGAGCCAATTAAAGAGCTTGCACACACATCCACACACATGGAATCATAAGGAAAAATCATTTTTAATGGGCAGGAAATAAGTGTAAACATTGATACTAGAGGTATTTTAAGACAAGGAACTGAAATACTGCAGATATCTAGTGGAAGTTTAAAAACTTAGTGTACTAGGGACAGTGGTTCTCAACCTGGGGGTTGGGACCCTTGGTGGGGTCACAAGGGGGTTTTAGAGGGGTCGCCAAAGTCCATCCAAAAACATAGTATTTTCTGTTGGTCATAGGGGTTCCATGTGGGAAGTTTGGCCCAATTCTATCATTGGTGGGGATCAGAATGATCTTTTATTGTAGGTGAACTATAAATCCCAGCAACTAAAACTCTCAAATGCCAAGGTCTATTTTCCCCAAACTCCACCAGTGTTCATTCACATTGGGCATGTTGAGTATTCATGGCAAGTTTGGTCCAGGTCCATCACTGTGTGAGTCCATAGTGCTCTCTGGATGTAAGTGAACTACAACTCCAAACCTCAAGGTCAATGCCCACCAAACCCTTCCAGTATTTTCTGTTGGTCAAGGGAGTTCTGTGTGGCAAGATTGGTTCAATTCTATTGTTGGAGTTCATAATGCTCTTTGATTGTTGGTAAACTATAAATCCCAGCAACTACAACTCCCAAATGACAACATCAATCCCCTGCCAACCCCACCAGTATTAAAATTGGGGCATATCACGTGTTTGTGCCAAATTTGGTCCAGTGAATGAAAATACATCCTGCATAGCAGATATTTATATTATGATTCATAACAGTAGCAAAATTATAGTTGTGAAGTAGCAACAAAAATAATATTATGGTTGGGGGTCACCACAACATGAGGAACTGTATTAAGGGGTCGCAGCATTGGAAAGGTTGAGAACCACTGTACTAGGAGGAATATGCTCTGATTCAGTTCAAACCAAAAAAGTATATAAAGCAAAATTCCTATTCAAGGGCCTCAATCCATTTTAGGAAAACTAACTTGACTTCCCTATTAGCTTCCCACCATCCCAGATATGTTTTTTGTGTGTATTGCATTCACTTTTAGATCATCAAGTCAGAGCACTGGAAAAGTTTCTG